TGCATTGTAGTGTTGAATACAGCTGGTGGAAACGTGCTTTGTGACAGCAGGAGCATCGGAGGGCCGTGCTCAGGGTGGTGCAGGCCGGAGGGGGCTCTGGCCAAAGCAGACTCTTCTCTGGGTTTGTTTTCAGACTGCAAGGTTTACGTGTCTTCTCAAAGGAGTCCTGACACAATCACCAAAGCTAATAGAAAAAAACAGCCATGTACAGAATAAACTGAAACCTGAAAAAGGAACAGCACAGGGTGTTTCAGCTATGAACAAAATCAAGAAATGAACCGCTTTCCTCACCCAGCTGTGTGAAGACTCAAACAGCAGGACCCCTTGAAGTGGATGCTTGAGCTCCCATGAGAGACACAGGCTGGAGCTGTGGGTCCTAGGCCGAGCCCTTCATGCCTTTTTTTTTTTTTTTTTTGCATCCTCGACCTCTTGGGCTCAGGCTATCCTTCTGCCTCAGTCTCCCAAGTAGCTGGGACTACAGGTGTGCACTGTCACACCCAGTTTTTTTTTTGTAGAGATGAGGTCTTGCTATGTTGTCCAGTCTGGTTTCAAACTCCTAGACTCAAGTGATCTTCCCGCCTCGGTCTCCCAAAGTGCTGGGATGATAGATGTGAGCCACCATGCCTGGCCCCTTCATGGTTTTCTAACTCTATGGAAATGGATAGAACTTCAGCTTCTCCCAACAATCCCCAATCTCAGTTCTCAAGAATCCAGATACTTGTCAGGAAAACCAGAAGAGAATCCTTCACACAAGCCACACCCAGCATTCAGATTATAGAACCAACAGTCTGACTGGGAGATGAGGTGAATTTTGCTACATAATTGGAAAGGAATTTCACAAAAATAAAATTCCATGAAGTAAACACACACTCGCAGGTTTGTGCAGGTGCGTGCGCACACACACACATACACAGCAACATTCAACGTGAAAAGTTCCCTTTTCTTTCTCAAAAGGTTGGTTTTGGCAAGCCCTGGCAAGCAAATAGTCCCCATGTGGTGCGCCAGGAAGGCCAAGTTCTCTGAAGGAAAAGCTGGGGGCTGATCTGTCCTCACAGACCCGTGAGGCCAGCCCTGGTGGAGGCATGAAAAGTGGGGGTCCTAAGGCTTCTTCCATGTTCCTGGAGCCTCTGCCACACTTCCCATGTGCCCAAAGGTGCCCTCATATCCCAGAAACCTGCAGGGTGCCTACCGACTGGCACAACCTAGCTGTTCCCTCTCCTTACATGTGCCAGACATGGCCAACTCTTCTTTAATACAAGATGTCGAGGGCACTGACTACAAACCACATTTTTTGTCGCTCAGGCATCCGCCTGGTGCCCTGCTGCACACAACGTCTGCCTAGGTCAGCGGCCGCCCAGGTCAGTGCCTGCTCAGCCCTCCGCCTCACGAGATCACCAAAAAACACTCTGCAAAGCCAAGTTCCACAACGGGGGTGGGCTTCATTTGTGGCTGGGAAGCAGGGTGTCTAGGGAAAGGCCCCTCTTCCCACTATAGAGAAAAGAGGCAGGCCCGACTTACACCCAGCCTGTGTGTCAGGAGGCCTTGGACACGAGAGACTGGCCACTGGAGGAGACAGGTGACAACAGAAGGTAAGGGGACATCTGAAAGCAACAGCTGGAGGCTTGCGGGGGGTGTTCCAAGTCTACTCACATCAGAGCCATGGTAAAGCGAGCTGAGCCAAGGCAAGGTCTGCCAACACAGGACCAGGGCCACAGCACCCAACACGCACTCACTGAGGGGTCTGTTGGCCCAGCTCTGCTCTATTGAGTTCTTTTGAGAATACAAGTTCTTGTCCGGCAGACAGCAAAGACTTGCCACCTTCAAAACAAAGCACCTGCACTCAGGATTCACTCAGGGGGACACCAGGGATACAGAGAAGGGGCTCTGCCAGTCCCCACCTGCAGCCCTCACCTCCACAGGCCCAGGCTGCCAGGGTGGGGCCAGGGCTATGCAGACACAGGGTGGATGTGTGAGCCTTCCCCAGCAGTGACGGGGACAGAAGTGCCTCGTGCCACCACACCATATCACCTGGGAAGGCACCAGGGACTTTGGCACCACCCTTGGGTTTTCGGTGCTGTGCTAAGAATCCAAGTTTACATCATCTCAGCAGAGCAGAGAGCTTTCAGGACTGACCTCTAGAAAAGGGAGTGAGTCAGGTTCAAGGAAATGGGAGAGATAGGTCACAAGAGCATGTGGTCTGACTGGCTGTTGCCCCTTCCTGCCAGTGGCTCTGGGACCAGCACTGGGGTTCCTGCTACCCAGGGCCCCTTCCCTTTGATGAGGCCAGGCAGTCATCAACACCAACTTTGGATGCCATTGCTGCTTCCTACGGAAGGCCTGCCTGGGTGGCGGCAGGTGTGTGAGCGGCCAGTCAACCCTCAGAAAGCACTTGGGTGGCAGCTACCTGCCCTCGAGCCTGCCACTCATCCCGCAAACGCAGAAGTGCTGTGCGGGGGCTGACGACACCGGAGGATTTCACAGAAACACTCGCAGAGATCTGTGTGCCAGCAGGCGTTGTTGTTTTTCGTTTAAGATGGATTTTCTTATCCTCCATAGCATCAGCAATTTTTTTTTTGAGTTGGAGTCTCACTCTGCCGCCCAGGCTGGAGTGTCATGGCACACTCATGGCCACTCCAGCATCGGCCTGCTGGGCTCTGGCGATCCTTCCGTTTCAGTCTTCCAAGTAACCATAACTATAGGCACATACTACCACGCCTGGCTAATTTTTTATTTACTGTAGAGACGAGGTCTCACCAAGTTGCCTGGGCTGGTCTCGAACCCATGGGCTCAGGCAATCCACTCACCTCGGCCTCCCAAAATGCTGGGATTACAGGCTGAGCCACCAAGCCCAGCCAGCATCAGCATTCTGAAGTTTATTTTATGGACGTGGAGACAGGAATAGGGGTGAAAATGAGTGTAAACAAAGCCTAGTCCTGCCATCAGTGCCCACTGGAGGTGGCCAGCATAGTGAGTGGCCTTGGCTGTCCCTGCACCTGGCCCAGGAGCCCAGGACAGAGGTAAAGGCTGGGTCTCTCTGTTTGGCTAGATTCATCAGGCAAGATTCCAAAACCAAAAAACTCGAGGACAAGAAACAATCATGTCTGCGCAGAGATACGGCACTGTGGCCCTACGGCCATGGTAATCATGAGCACCAAGAGAAATGAATTTACAGAAATATCTCAAAAACAAAGACATGCATCTAGTTATCAGTCTGCCAGGACACACACACACACACACACACACACACACACACACACACACACACACACTTCCTTCAAGTCTCATACAACCTAACAGCCTTAAATATCTGACGAAACAGAACCATGGACATTAATTCAGCAAAAGGGAGAGGTAGGCCAAAGAAGCAGAAGGCCAATTTTATATCCCATGGAGTTAAAAAAATTCCTCCCCAGCAAGGGGTGGGGAGAAAGCTGCTGACTGAGGAGAGTCCTTGGCTTGGCCAGCCACTACGGTCACCTAGGCGTTTACAAAGGCACAGGTGCGGGAGGGGCTGAGCTCAGGACCCGCCACGAGACCTGCACAGCCAGCCACACTGGGGCTTCTTTCTGTTTCCTTCTGACCTTTGCGGATTCTGCCTTTGAAAGGGCGACTTCACGTTCATCCAAGGGTAGAGGATGGATTCTGTTACCATCTCCCAGTGGAAATTCCAGGGGCCAGCCTTGTCTGGGCTCACCCATAGGAAGGTGATCTGGAAAGCCTGTAAACATGTTTTCTGGGTGGCTAAGCAGTGTCCCAAGCTGCTTTGTACAGGGTTGGAGCCCAGACAGGAGAGCAGGCAGCTGGTCAGGGAACTACAGCAAGAGGCAGAAGCATGGCTGTGGCAGGGGAGATGCCTTCTCCATCCTCCATCCCGAGGCTGAGGCAGGCTGGCTGCCCTTCGGGCCTCTGAGAGCCAGTGAGTCTTTGACTGGATCTAAGCCTCAGGAGGCATCCTGGGGGTCCCCTTCTTCACACAGCACTTAGGCTCCCTCAAAACCTTCCCCAGCACCTGCAGGCAGGAAGGGAGGGTGAGAAGAAGCAGGACAGAGGTCACAGGGAAAGTTTGCGGGCTGCTTTGAACTTCCCAGCAGGGCTCTAGAAGCATGCACTTGCCATAAGGAGGCCCCCTTGGCTGGGCTTCCTGAGAGTGGGAGAGGGAGCCCTGCCCCTGCAGCTACCTGCAGAGGTAGCCAGCGGAGGGTGAGGACTGCGTCGGGCCAGCCTCCTGCTGTTCACTCCGACCACTCAGTCACCCATTGTGCTCCACCTGAACCAGATCTGAGTAGCTTCTTTACTGTCTCATCTGGGGGATGCCTAGAGACAGTGACATGGGCAGACCACCCCAGAGTTTTGTCTGTCAACATTCAGATTCTTCCTCCAAACACAAGACGGGACAGACTTGGAGCGTGGGGACATCTTTGGTCCAAGAACCATCCTGGTTTAGGGCTCCCAGTTGAATGACATCACACAAGATAATGATGCTGACAGCGGGAACGTGGAGTCTGGTCTTTCGCATGCCAGAACTTAAGGGCTATACATGCCCCTCGGACATGCCTGATTGATCCGAGGCTGCAGCCTGGGAGCAAGTGGCAGATGGCAGCAGAAGGGCCATTGGTGAGGTGACGCCCAAGAAGGCCCTGCAACACCAGGTGGAACGAGAACAGGAAAGATGAACCATTGCCAGGAGGACTTCCAAGCCAGAGCAGCAGCTGTGCACCACGTGCTCCCATTCTCATCCTGTATGCTTCCACACCCATTGGTTTTGCACTCATGTGTTCTGGGGGTCTCTAAAGAAGGCACTTCCCCCAGCAGCCCACCATGCAGAAGCCTGAACAGAAGTCCAAATCCATCCACAAGCCGGGTGCTGTCAGAGTTGGGGAGAGAAAGACGCCTTCTAACACCCCATGGCAGGCCAGAGAGCAGGGCAGGGTGTCAGCCAGAGGAGCGCAGTGGACAAGGGACAGGTCTGTGGGTCTCAAGACAGGAGCAGGCTTTGTCTCCCTCATCCCATCAACTCGGCTCACTAGCACAGGGCCCGACAGGCCCCCAGCAGGACAGGACTAGTACTTCCCTTTCGTCTGGGCTGCTCTGAGGACAGAGGAGGTTGGTGACTGAGATCACTGAGTGAGAGTTCACAGCAAGGGCTTCCCAAAGATGGGCTATTGCTGACAGCAGGCTCCGAACCTGCTTCAGACCTGAGCGTGGCATCCTGACCAGCGCCGAGGGCTGCAGAATCGAAGGGAGGCCCTGAGGCTGGGCATCAGGAAGGGCTGGGGAGGCACGGCCTCCTTTCCGCAGGCAGGGCAGGGTCTCCATGGTACCGCATGCCAGCTAAGCGGCTACGACTCCCCCGATCTCTTGCCCAGTCTGGTGACGGCCTTGGAGGCCTGCTCAGGCAGCTGGGCCGGGTCTGTGAGGATGGAGGTGGACGTGCTCAGCTGCCGCAGCGTGTTCAACACCACTGGAAGACAGAGGGAGTCAGACACAGGTGCGGACATGGACCCACAATGCACTGCGTACCTGGTCTCACACTTAGAACCGCATGTGGCGACTCTCAGGCACCAGAGAATGACAGCCATGGCTCGACTGCAGGGAGGCACGCCAGAGAGGCCCTATACCGAGACCTACACACTTACCCCCTGCCTCCAGAGAACTTTCCATATCCCAGCGGGAGCTGCAAACAGGCAGAGGACTCTAAAATTTTTTTTAAGAAATAGGGTCTCGCTCTGTTGTCTAGGCTGGAGTGCAGCAGTGCAAGCCTAGCTCACTGCAGCCTAGAATTCCTGGGCTCAAGAGATCCTCCCACCTCAGCCTCCTGAGTAGCTGAGACTATGGGCCTGTACTATCGTGCCTGGCTAGGTAGAGAATTCTAAGCTGTTCCTGCTGCTTGCTCCAACAACTTTGATATTAAATTTTATAACCTTTTTTTTTGAGTTGGAGTCTCTGTCACCCAGACTGGAGTGCAGTGGCTGCTCCCGGTCACCATAGCCTCGACCTGCTGGGCTCCGGTGATCCTTCCGCCTCAGCCTTTCGTGTAGCTGGAATTACAGGTGTGCGCTACCACGCCTGGCTAATTTTTTGATTTATTGTAGAGATGAGGTCTTGCTGCCCAGGCGGGTCTTGAACCCGCGGGCTCTGGTAATCCACTCACCTCAGCCTCCCAAAGGCGCGGGATTACAGGCTGAGCCACCGAACCCGGCTACCTTTTTTTTTTTTTTTCTCGGAGGCAGGGTTTCACTCTCACCTAGGTTGGAATGCAGTGGCATAATGTTGGTTCACTGTAGCCTTGACCTCCTGGGCTCAGGTGACCTTTCTGCCTCAGCTTCCCGAGGACTTGAGCAAACTGACAGAAGCACTGATGGCAGAAGCCTGGCGCCCAGCTCCCTGTCCCTGCAAGGGTGTCTCTGACTCAGGGCCTCCTGGATAGCACTGTGCTCATGCCTTGGCCTTGCCTGGTGGCCTGCAGTAGATCTGGGTTTTCCCAAGCACTATTCTCACCAAGGCCTTCCTGTCCCCAGGATTAGCATGAAGCCCTCCCGGCCCTGGTGCCACCTCACTCACTTGGCCTGAGGATGGGCAGGGAGCAGTGCTGGTCCAGCCAGGATAGCGCCGTCCGGTGCAGCTCTTCCAGGCTGCTGGTGGACACCATTCCCTTGAACGACTCGAACAGCGGCTTGACGATGATGCTGAACTGTGGCACTCGATTAAAGAAAAGCCAGGTACGGAGGAGGGCCAGGTCCGTGGGCCTGCAGGAGGGCTGGCCTTGCCTACTGGCTTCCCTGGCAGGTAGCCGCCCACAGAGAAAGGATAATTGAGAGGGGACATCTCTAGGCAAGGCGTGCCCTCCATTTGACTAAAACTGATCTAACTATAACTGGACAGCAGGTCATGGCCACTGAGTAGGCAGCAGGCAGGGAGGGACGTAGACATTTCTACAACAGGTCCTAGGTTCTTACACATACTGGCAAGAACATTGGAGGTGCAGGGCTGATGGAAAGGCAGAAGTTGTCTTTCTGGAGGTGACATTTGCCTCTTGTGTTAAACAGCTCTTCCCCACAGTCGTGCAGGTCTCCTGGACCATCTCAGGAAATGTACTTAGTGAAGGCATGAGCACATTTTCTCTTGCATTTTGATCAGGATCATGCCCAGAGGTCACCCTCAGCCCAATAATGAGAAATGTGCCACTTTACCAAAGAGCCTCTGACACATTCCAGATGCTCCATTGCTGATAGGAGTAGGACCAGGCAGGCAGTAAACCAGCAAAGCAAAGCAGGGAAGCAGAGCTGGCATCTCTCACCTCTTCGTGTAAAAATTGCCCCCAGAGCACACACAGATGCCCTGCCCTGTCCGACTGCTGCAGCTGTGATCTTCTCTTCCCACACAACTGTCTCCTCTGTGAGACCCAAGCCCCAATGCCATGGCCAACCCACCACGAGTGCCGAATGTTTACTCAGAGGCAGAACACTGATAGGGTGGGGAGTGATAGGTAGGAGTCAACCCCATAAAAGCTGTGCTGCCACCTGGAAGGCTAGTGAAGGCCAGCCTGGGCCCCAGAGACAGCCCTAGCACTCAGCAATAGTCCATCTTGATGTTAAAGATAGACGTGCTTCATTATGTTTCAAACCAGACTCTCCCACTCATGTTCCTGTGAGCCCAGTTTCTGTTTGTCACAGTGGGGATGGCACTCATCCTTGCTGTCATTGCAAGGACTAAGCTGGCTGCCGGGCTATGTGACATCCTACCTCCTTCCCCCTTGTAGCTCTTGCAAGTGGCACTAGCATTGTCCTTACTTCTCAAGCACCTAGAGAGCAAAGCCTGCCGTCTCACCGCCCTGGTCCTCCTGCAAAGCACTCACAAGTCCCAGTCCTGGATGCAGACCAGCCAGTGGCACCAGCCCACCGCAGGCCAGGCCAGACCACTCGCTCCCTGAGACAAACTGTAGCACTGCCTGTAGTGATGAGTTCAGCGATAGCCATTTAAAGATACTCTTTCTCAAGGAACTAGAGCGTCACTATCTGATGTTTTAGTGCATTGGTCAGGGCCTGGGAAGAGCAAAGAAAATCGAAAGATACAATCCAGAACTTCCAATTCTGCAGCGTCCGGCTTTTTACATACTCATCAAACATGTCTCTCATGTGATCAAACTGGCGCCGGGTGACGGGGACTCCTGTGGCAGGAAGCAGCTGCTGGCAGGAGCTGAAATGACAGAAGTCAGGGGAAGCTTTGGAATAACCAGTGGCAAATCAGGACCCTGGGGCAAAAGACAGGCAGAACTGGCCCAATGGTGGGCCACAGCCATGCATAGGAGAGGCCTGTGAAAGGAGAATAAAAAAGCACTAAACAGCTGCAACAAAGAGGCATCTGCCAATGAAGAGGCCACAGGGGCCCACTGTCTGTGACATCCCATATGTGGGACGAGATGCTGGCCCAGAGCCCCAAGCCTGAAGTCTCACATGATGGTGGCATTGAGCTCCTCGATCTCCTCTCGCAGCCGCCGGGCCTCCTCCTGCATCTGGCTCCTCTCTTGCTGCAGCTTGGTGATGTACTCCACGGTCTTCTGCAGCGTGATGGCGTGGCTGGTCTGCAGAAGGGACAGGTGGCTGGAGGCGCTGACCAAGGCGGGAGGGCCCAACTGCTGGTTCCCCTGCCCCGCCCCACACTCTCAGGCAACTCACCAGCTTGGAATTATTAGAAATCAAACTGTTGAGGGTGTCAAAGCCCATCTTGATGTTGAAGCGCCTTTTCTGTTCTGCTGAAATGTGCTTCATCTGCCGGTTCTGTTGGGGAATTTACCCACTGAGACACATGCAACGCGAGGGGCTGCAGCACCCAATCCTCCTCACCCCTCAAGCTGATGCTGAGCGGCTGGCGAGAGATTAGGACCCTGGAGTGCCCGACAGGCCAGGGCTAGAAAATTACGAGGGAGGGGATGATCAAAAGCTAAAGGCTCCAGTGAGGAGCCAAGAGAGAGACAGGACAGAAAACACCATAAAACCTTTGCTGTAGAAGGAGGCATAGCCAGAGCTGGGAGTGGCAGTGTGGCCCAGCACGTCCCAGCCACCTCAAACCTCGCCTCACGACCCAGCTCTTCCGGCTGTTATCTCCCTCCTACAACTGACAGGGGCCAGAGCGGCACTACCATGTTACAAGGATTCAATGCCAGTTCCTGAGCTTGGGGCCCACCTAGAGGTCTCTAGCAGGCCCCCAATCGCCACAGGGCTGGTTAGTGAGAAGGGGCAAGAAAGGGCCAGTTTAATCTCAAGATTAAAGCAGCTAACGCCAGTGGTTCTGATGCCGCCCAAGCCCACTGCAACACCAGCCGGTCTGTGGTGCCCCTTTCCAGACAGACGCAGCAGCCCCAGAGGTTCCTTGATGTCCTTCTCCCTCTTCCTTCCCATCCTCCAAGGGAACCAAGACCCAGGAGAGATGTGTGATACCTTTAATGCAGCCACATTTTTGGGCTCTGCAGATTTCCCTGAGCAGTTGTTCTGGGGAGACTGAGGACTGGGGCTTTGCTCGGATGCACACGGAGAGGCCTGTCCTGAGTTTGAGCAGTCTCGACCTGAGAAGAACAGAGATACCGCTGAGGGACAGGGCCTGAGAAGGACTCCCTCAAACAGCAAGCAAGGCTGCCCCCACCTCCAGGCAGACCATACAGATGAAGGGAACCCCAGTAAATCCCAGGACTAGAAAGCTTTCTATAAACTTCCATGGCCTGTCCTACTTTACTGTTAACAAATGCCTCAACTTCATTTACTCTCTACTGAGTTATGTTTCCCCAAACTACCGTCAGGCTGCAAAACATGGCTCGAAATTCCGTGTTCTGACTTTTCCCTAGGCTATTTTAAGGACTTAACTCATAATTCTTCAGTCTTTATCTTTCCAGACTGAGGAATCCTTTCTTTCCAAAGCCTTTCCTGGACAATTCCTTCTACTGTCCAGTCCCGCCGAGTTACAGACCCTCCCTTGTTTGTGTCTTCCTGAGGTAGGAGGGAGACAACTGTCTGATCAGGGTCCCCAGAGCCACTACCTTTAAGCTTCACTTAAGAGAACGTTTCCCCTTCCCTTCCTGGCGCGGTGTCTGAAGAAAGGAGTCTAGTCTGCCTGTACCCACGGCCAGCAGCACAGCCTCAGGCAAACCATTCATCTCTGACCTCACCTATTGGCTCTTCGGATGTCACTGGGCAAAATCAGTCCTGCCCTGACTGTCTCACCAACAGAAGGCCCAAGTATGGACACAGTCCACAGATGGCCAGTGCTTTCAGAATTGTCAGGGATGACCATGTCAATGCTGAGATGAGGCTGGGTGACCTCTGTGGCCAAAGCAATCCTAGGCTAATGTTCCCAGAAGCCAGAACCCAGGGACTCCTCAAACCCTTCTCTGGATGAGAACTGGCAGCCCCAAGTCTGGCTTTTCTGGGTGGTCAGTAGTGGCTGCTAAGCACACCAGCCACCCACACTGCCATACACCTGCTATCTTGCCCCATCCGTGCTGCCACAGGTCACCCTGACATCTGGGTGTCTCCAGCCTGTGCCTTCAGCAGGCTTATGAGACTTCACTGTGCATCCTGGATGGCCAGGCTCTGTCTTGGGGAGCCCTGTGGGTGGTCTCCCTGATCCCAGCAGGCCTCCTCATTTCCCCCACCACGTCTCAACCGTTCTTCCCCAAGTAGACACGCACCAGGACCCACGACAGGGACCTGGGGACTGCCCGTGTGCAGCGGGACCTGCTCGCCCTTCACCAGGGAATCTTGCACTGTGCTTGGAGAGAAGAGTCGGGAGACGGGGGCAGGCTGGCTGCTCGTGCTGGGGCCAAGGTCTGTCACCAGGATGCTGCTGTGGAACTCTGTGACTCCAGGAGCCTGCGGTGACATGGGAGAGGTCACCCTAACCACTGGTGCACAGCAGAGGAGACCATGACATCAGGTGAGGGCCACCAAAGAGCAGCCCCCGCTGGGTGATAGGGGCACCGAGGGTGTGTCCAGGGCCCTCCTCACCCTAGCGATGGCAGCGGGCGCAATGACCATGTTGGATTGGGACACCGTAGAAGCCAACATTCCTTCTCTCTTCAGTGGGCCTGGAGTCATAATCACTGCTTGTGGTTGACCTGAAAAGGCAGCTACCAGGACAAGGAGAAGGTAAAGCCCTGGGCTGCAGGGCCTGGTCCCGACCCTGCAGAAATATCAGCTGTTGCTGAACCCGGACCAGCCAAGCTGTAGGGAGCAAGGCTCCCAGGGCAGCACGCCAGCCCCCTCTGCCAGTGAAGGATTGTTCCTCACAGCTGGGGAAAGAATGTCAAAGCCACCAGGTACCTAACACTTTCTTGTGACTTCTCCTTGAAGGAGACATATTACAGACCCAGGAAAGAGATAAGTAGGACCATGTGGTTTCAAACTGGGTTGGGACTAACTTTAAAAAAAAGATGTAGAATAGATCATATATACATGAATTATTTCATGGCACTCTTGTTTTCACTTATTTAAATATGTGTGTGAGCTGAGCACAGTGGCTCATGCCTATAATCCCAGCACTTTGGGAGGCAGAGGCGAGCCTAGGTAACTTGGCAAGAGCTCATCTCCACAATAAAAAAATTTTTTAAATTTTAAAAAATTAGCCAGGCATGGTGGTGCATACCTGTAGTTCCAGTTACTTGGCAGGCTGAGGCAGAAGGATTGCCCAGCAGGTCAAGACTGGGTGACGGTGAGACTCTAACTCAAAAATAAATAAATAAACAAACAAACAAATAAGTGTGTGCATGCGGGTGTGTGTGTGTAGCAGGCAGGGGATCACAAGTTTGATAGCCTTGGGATAGGGTAATATTCCTCCCTGGGAAGAAAACCCCACACGGTTTGCCTCCACCTGACTCACCTGGGGTGATGCAAGCATTCTTCAACACCAAGGACACAGGCTCTGGCTTGGGAGCAGGCACTATTTTGGGGGGCTGCTTGGGCCTCCCCCCAGTCAAGGATACAGGTTTGGGCTGCACGAAAGTTAACCGAGGTTGGGGAGGCCCAACAGCTGGAGGCCGGGTGACAGGAGACAGTGCCAGGCCACAGGAGGCCACTGACGGGGTTGGGTGACGGGTTGTGATCACAAGGCCCTGACTCTGGCTGAAGGTAGTGGCAGAGGCGTCGTGGGTAAGGGTGGCAGAGGCTGTGTGGGTGATGACAGAGGGTGACTTGCTGACTCCAGCAAACTTCTGTGGCTGCAGAAAGGCAGGTGGAGTCGGGGGGCTCAGGGCAGCGGCAGGAGGAGCTAATGGTAACGCAGGGGAGACCGGTGCCGGGGCAGGGCTGGGAGACAGCAGGGGCATGGTGAAGACAGGGAGGAACGACTGCGGGACGCTCAGTGGCGGCTCCGAGGGAACAAAGTCCGTGGGCTGGATAAAGGGGTCTCCGGTCTGAGGAGTGCGGTCGCAGCCCTGCCCATCCGTGGGGTCCAGAGACGGGGTGGCAGGGGGCACGATGAGGCTGTCGGGAAGGCTCACAGTGGGGAGGGCGGTGGTCGGCAGGACGCTCTCCTAAGAAAAGAAGAGAAGCCAGGAGGCAACGCTGGGATCACACAATTCACTTTCCCTTCCTAGCACTGCACACCACCCAGTCCAGCTACGCACACCAGCGCCTGGATGGAGGGACGGAGGCCGTGTTTCCCATGCCGGTGACCGCTGATCTGGGAAAATGGATATGTGTTTCCCCAGGCATCTGTGGGGGTCTTGTTTCCACTAGGAACTACATGATAACACAGAGCTCAGACAAAGCAACGGCCCCCACACAGCTGGCCGGCAGCCTGGGGATATCCTGTTTCTGGAGTCCACGGAGTCTCCCCGAAGTCTCTGCCATCTTCTATTACCGAGCAGAGGCAGCCTGCATCGCAGCTGTTCAGGGTTCCCCAAGACAGTGTCATGTATCAACTCCTCATCTGGCCACCTCTTCCTAAATGGGAAGAGCTGTGAGGTATCCATGGTTCAGATGGCACCCTCTATAGAAGAAGCTCCTCCCAGAGCCAGGCTGAAGAGGATGGTGCCATGTAACTGGTGTCGAAGTGGACACGGGAGCCAGCCTGAGAGCCCCACAAGGGAAAGGACTGCACCTCACTCAGCTCCGCAGCCCCAGCACCTGGAGCCAACGTCTGTTGATTGCTAAGTAAAAAGTGAAATATACAGAACTTATTTTTATTAGTGATTCATGCTTTTGTTCTCCATCTTGCTAATCCTGTCATAACTGCTCAGAACCTAGCCGGCTTCACACATGTTCCTTGGAGTCTTAGATGGAGCATGCATATACTGACAGTCTCCAACCTCATGGACATTCAAAGAGGTGTCCAAGGAGGGCTAGAATCACGTCCTACACAGCATCCGTGTGTTCAGCGCTAGTCTGGCATGCCTAGTACTTTGCTTACGACAGTGTGGTTATGTCATTAGCCTAGCTCTGGTGGCCCCGTTTTGATGACCACCCTCCCCCAGCTTCCTCTACCTGTGCAGGTGGGTTGTTGGGATCTGCTGTAGGTGCTGAGGCAGGTGCAGGCAGCATGGAGCCAAAAATGGAGCGGCTGGAAGAGAAGAGGTCTGAAAAACAACATCAAGTGTTGAGCTTGACGGGTCCAGCATTCCCTGGAGTTAAGGCCCAAACAATTCGAAGACTGAACCCTGCAATACCAGAGGGAAGCCATGGCCAGAGCATTCCTCTCAGAGATAACTTTTTTACGTAGAAAAATGCCCTTTGATTGAAACCATACATGCTGGCAACTAGTCTGGGCTCTGAAATACTTTCAGGCCTGGCGCTTCCGCAGCTCTGACAATTGCAAGGGCTCAAGGACTCAACTAATTGCAGGAACCTTTGAGAGGCACTGGCTGTGTCATCAGCGCCCTCTGCTGCCTAGAGAGAGAACTGCTTACAGTTACGGCCAAACCAGAGACTGAGCCAGTGGGAAAGAGAACAATGTCTCAGAGAAACTTCCTAGACCTCATAAGCTTAGGTTTTGAACAGTTCTAACTCTGTCCCCTTGCCCATCCTAACTTTTCTCTCTGAAAGGAAAGTACCAATCAGCTCTGGACAAAGGGAGATTCAGGTAGTCAGGCTCCCCATGCCTCTGGTCCTCACCCTGGAAGGGTTCAAAGGTATCCATGAAGTCCAGGTTGGGCTGCAAAGGAATCAGCCCTGGCTGGATCATGTCTGCATTTCCAAGATGTGCTGCAAGAATCAGAAAGAGAGGAATCATTTTGCCTTCTCAGATAATGTTGCAGAAACATAAAAAAGGCCTGGAAGAGCTCTGCTTGGCCCTGCTCACATTCTAGAGTCTTTCAAGGAGAACTGTAGGAAGCTGACTGGGATTTCTACCTTCTTGCGAGTTCATGGCCATTCTGCACCCTCAGAAGGCAGAAAAGAAAGTGAGTTTTTGTAGGGAAGATAAATTAAATATCAGGGAATGGATACCCCAAGGAAGTTGTAAATAGCTCAGCAGAGATTTCTCCCACCCTTATTCTAATTTTTAATCTGCAGGCTCTTCCCTGAGGGGTTACCTAGAAGACAGAAGGCCACCAGGAGAGAGGTCTCACCCAAGTGAGTCGTCATAGCCCTGCTACATAGGCCTGGGTGTTGCACATGCCCTCACTAAGGGGCAGTATTAGAAATACAAAATTGATTTAGATCAGACCCTGGCTGCTGTCGTCCCACAGTGGTGCCAGGGGAACAGCAGCTGCCCTAGTAAGGTTCAGTCTGCAGTGCCCGCCCACGGATGCATGTGGCCTCAGATGTCAAATAAGGTTGCCAACTCTTCTCCCCCTTACTGTCTACCCTTAACAAATGATATGCAGCAGCTCAGAGACATCCCTGAAGAAAGCCTGGACCACAGGTGGTCTGGAAGAGAAGGAAGCCAGCTGGGTGCTCAAAGTCCGAGGACCTAGGTGGAGGTTACCTATTTCTCGTGGGTTGGGCCAGGCCACCGGCTGGTGTGAAGAAAGTGTGGAGAAGAGGGTGTCACTGAATTCTGACATGAGCATGTCTGTGTCCAGCAGGGGGTCCTCCTCCATGGGGACTGGGGTCTTCCATCCATCCCTGTGCTTGTGCCAATACAGCATGTCATCGTCCTACCACCAACACAGGGAGAGGAAAGAGTCAAGGGCAACGGAGGAGCTCAGAATTCCCAAGGCTGTCATGCTGGGGAAACGTGTCCCAGGGCTACTCTGTGGAGATGAGGTGTCAGGGCGGACACATTTAGAGAGCAGCTCCCTCTGGCCCACCCAGTAGAGACACCCGGCCTGCTTCCTTGGGCTGTTCGTAAGGTCTTCATGGAAGAAAGGAACTAGCCCTGCCTCCAACCTCAGGGAGGGTCCGTGTCTTGCCACCTTCTGCCACAGGGCTCACTTGTGGGCCACCCAAGTCACTGCCGATTCATGTCAAAGCAGGGCTCCCTGGGGGTTCTCACAGCTCCCAAGTTTACTCACCTGGGCCAGACTGGAGAGGTCCTCATCCTTGTGCTGCTGTAGCTGTGGGAAAACGGGATGAGACGGAGTGGGCACCAAGCGCCTTGGGAAGGATAAGGCCGCAGCCTTATCTCCTACATGGAGACGGGTAGAGAGAGGGACCCTGCTCCCTGCCATCCCCAGGCCGCTGCCGGCAAAAAGGAGATTCCCACTCAGCATGTGTGGAACACACAGCCCAGTTCACAGATGGGGAAACTGAGAGCAGAGTCAATAAGACCAAGACATGGCTCGGGCTGGGCTAGAACTCTGAGTCCCAGCTTCCTACTTGATGCGCCACACCCCACGGGGCCAGTGTTCTGAATGCTAGACTCTGCTCGTTCCCTTCTCTACGGGCACTTGCGGGGGCCCCAGGCAGATACCCTTTTCTTGAAGTAGGTTCTCCACTTGTGATACTCCCTGATCACAATCTCAATGCGACTCTTCCAGTACTTCCCTTCTGTGGTGATAGCCTGGAACAGAGACACAGGGCAGAACGAAGAGGTATCTTTGCTTGATCAGCAAAACTCAACCCGTGAACAAAAAAGTACCTGACACTAGAAGCAGGCCTCAGGCAACCCAGTTCAGAAACCCCTATCATGCTGTGCAACCACTTCACTCGGAAAGCACGTCCCATCTCCCTGCCACAGTCGGCCCTCTAGCAAACAACACGTTTTCATTTCAAGATCTCAGGTATTCAAGAGCTTCAGGGCATGGTCCTAAGGCTCTGCACGGGAGCAGGGTCGGCTTGGGTGGGGAAGAAGCAGGAAGGCCCTTTCCGCACGTGAGGGACACCATAGAAACTCCTGGGCAGCCACACATGCCCATTCCCGGTAGCCTCTGCCACTTGCAAGGGCAAAGGGCAAAAACGAACAGCCAATCACAGGAGTTTCAAGTGGAAAGTGACCTCCAAAGGCATCTAGTTCAACCTTCCCGTGACTTTAGGCTCACAGACCTTCCAGAATATTTTTGAGTTCCAAAGACAAGGAATCCGTCCTGTCTCATAGCCCACCTCACCTTCAGACCTTAACGCCACATCACTTCACCTACAAATACTTCAGTATGTGTTTGAACAGTGAAGCAGTTCTTTTTTTAAAGCAAACAAACAAGATTAAGGTATTATTACCATACCCAACAAAATGGCATTTTTTGATACTGTCTAATACCAGATCATGTCCAACTGTCTCAAGACTGTCTTTCATTAGGTTACTTTCTAATTTCTCCCCCTTGTGCCATAACAGTAAGACTTAGCTGGGTGTGGTGGTTCACCTCTGTAATCCTAGCACTTTAGGAGGCAGAGGTGGGAGGACTGTCTGAGCTCAGGGATTCGAGACCAGCCAGAGCAACATGGTGAGACCTCATCTCTACAGTAAATAAAAAAATCAGCCAGGCATGGTGGCACACGCCTATGATTTCAGCTACATGGAAGGCTGAAGCGGAAGGATTGCCTGAGCCCAGCAGGTCGAAGCTGCGGTGGCCGTGAGCGTGCTACTGCACTCCAGCCTGGGCGACAAAGTGAGACTCCAACTAAAGAAACAAACAAACAACAACAAAAAGAACCAACCAAAAAAAAATCCCAGTAAGACTTGCTTAGACAAAATTAAAACGATGCAGAAAAGCATAACTGAAAAGAGTCTCTCCTCCTCATCCAGCATCCACTCTAACCCCACTCCCCAAAGACACCCACCATTAAAAAATTTCTGTATGTTCTCCTAGACATCCCCACACATGTGTAATCAGATACACAATTCTGAAATTAACGTAAGGATACTAAAAAGACTGCCAGGCAACTGGCTTTTCTCATTTACTCCCTCTTCAACTTTTCTCCATCTCAGTATATAAACATCTTGAGGTCACTCTTCAATGGTTAAAGAGATCTGCATTACAGGAAGCCAGAATTCCTCCCTGTTGACTCCCAGAAGAAAAGTCAATTTTAAATGAAAGTGGCAGCAAGTCTCGACTGGAGAGTCCCTCAGTCCTTGGGTCAGCCTGTCTGGGAAGGGGTGGCCTTGGGCATAAGGGGCCACTTGCCCCCATGCCTGACCTTCTCCAGGCAATGCCAGGGTCAGGACAGCACGGGCCCCTACTCCTCCACAGCCTCCTCCTGCAGGAAGCAGCCCTGTTCCTCTTGAAATGAGGGTGCTTTTCCTTCCTCAGCCACCCTGATCACTTGCCAAGTACCTCTGGCCGACGGTGCTCATCTACGTCCACAGAACCATCCAGTGGGGTGACAAAGTGGCACACAGGATTCTTGCGCTTCTCCAAATCTGGGCAGAGAGAGGGTGAGATGTCATCAAAGGAGCCCTGTCCTGTCAGTCCACACTCCTTCTTTCTCAAGGTGGGACCTTCCCAAGTACTCCTCCCCTCTCCTTCCCTTGGAAAACTGGAAATGTCGGGGAAATAAAGGTGAAAAGGAAAGACTCTGTCAATAGTGCATGAGCAGGAAGGCAGCCTGGCATCTCAGAGAAAGCCAGTCCACTGATCCGCAGGTCCCCAGACTGGAGACAGAAGCCTGTGCCTGCATCTTCCCAGACCTGCTCCATCCTTCCCAGCACTGGGCCTGGCCGTCTAGGAAGACGACACTAAGTGCGTTATGTTGTGAGCAGCATTATGTAGTCTCACATGTCTTTTCCTTCAGTCTACAGCAGCTTCGAGATAGAGACCACTTTCCTGGCCTGTTGAGCCTGATGGCTGGTAAGCGTGCAGTCCCTAGGATTTGGCGTGGGTTCCTTCTCCACAGACTGCTCGAGAAAGACTTCTGCTAGAAGCACACCACCCAGAGAGCACGCTCTGGGCCCTGCAGCCCCATTCGCCACCACCATGCTCCAGTAGCACTTACACTGCATGTACCACGCCCGCCAGATGGCATTGTTGAGCCGGATCTTGTCTCTCCACTGGAGCTTCAGGCCCTTGAAATTCTTCCACTTCGGAGACACCAACTTCCCACTGAAAGGCAAGACAAAGCAGGGAGACTTCATTTCCTCTGAAATGAAGTGAAGCTTAAAAGTGCCACCCGCCGGGCTCGGTGGCTCAGCCTGTAATCCCGCGTCTTTGGGAGGCTGAGGTGAGTGGATTGCCTGAGCCCGCGGGTTCGAGACCCGCCTGGGCAGGCGAGACCTCATCTCTACAATAAATCAAAAAATCAGCCGGGTGTGGTAGCGCTCGCCTGTAATTCCAGCTACTCGGAAGGCTGTGGCGGAAGGATCGCCGGAGCGCAGCAGGTCGAGGCTGAGGTGGCCGGGAGTAGCCACTGCACTCCAGTCTGGGCGAGAGTGAGACTCCAACTCAAAAAAAAAAAAAAATTCTATATAATTAAAAAAAAAATCTATTGACTGCCAAATGAAAGCCAGGCCCCTTCACCTGGTCTTGGCCCACCTCCTTTGCTATCAACCACAAGGTACTCGCAATCCAGGCACACAAGCATCCCACTGGCCTTGGTGCCTCTGGGGCCCCTTTTGCCTCCTAGAGCGTCTGACATGGTCCTCACTTTTGATGTCCTCCATCTAGCCACCCACTCAACCTTCAAGACAATGCTTTCAGGGTACTGCCCCTCAGCCCTATTCCACCTCTGGGACAGCACTCAAGAACACACTAAGTAGCAATGTCTGCTCACATGTACCTTCCCCTGTACAGACTTCTCTAGGGAGGGCCCTTTAGGCACCTTGGCACATAGTAGGGGCTTACTGATGAATTCTTCATTGAATAAGTTAACAGCACTTGCAAACCAAACCACCAGCAGGCGAGGAGAGCTGCCAGTCTTCTTGGGCAGCTCAGCTTTCCAAGTACTGCCAGGAGTAGTCTCTGGGCAGCTGGCACAGGAATTCTCTTTTTCAGATGGCTTGAGATAGGCAAGGCACTATTTTTTGGTCTGTATCAAAGGGGGTTTTGAGGGCTTTACCTGACCATAGGTCACAGCCCTGCCCCATCTCCAATCCCACTCAGAAAGGCCATGTGATGAGCAGTCTTCAAAGGAAGGACTCAAGTAATGACCATTAAGCGACCCTGAAAATTTCGCTGTGAAGCAAAGTCCCTGGCTGTACACCTGGCAAAAACCTCATGCCCATCACCACTCAACCCAGCAGGGAGCCCAGGCTTTGGAGAATATGGGTCAGAAGGCTGTGACCTCCCTAGACAAAATGTCGCAAGAGCACATCCTCTTAGCATACGAGGGACTCACAGACAGTAGCAGCCTCTGCCCAAAAGGTCAGGGTCTCAGGACAGTTGCATCCCTTCTTCCTACCCTCTCTCTCCAATTCAAAGGCACACCTTGCCCACCTCCATGCTGCCCCATCAGTCTTGCCTATATTCCACAGCTGAAAACCCTCTCCTGTGTCACCCCGTATCAGTGTACCTTAGGCTGGCACAGCAATGTCCTAGGTAAAATCAGAATGACACCCCCTCCTCCAGAGTATTTACATAAGGGTGAAATGAGAGCGTATGTGTATGTACGATAGATACATGTAGACATATACATACACACATACATACATGCTTAGACACATATGCAACTGGTAAACCTGAAAGCAAACATTTTAAGATATTAACAACCATCTCAATGATGTAGATTTAAGCTATTACTGAAAGGTGCGGTTTTTAACAACACTCCCTCGCTTGAAAAGTCCTTTCTTTCAGGTTTGCCACATTGCCTCTTGGCCCCTCCTGCACCACAGGTGGAAAAGGTGACACCATGTGTCCACTCTCAATCCCAGGGAACAGAGCCCTGGGTGAAGGTAGCCACTGTTGCTCCTTGGAATCCTGTGTAGCTGCAGAACCTGTTTCTGTGTGCTTCCACTTTCTCATTCAACAAGAATTAAGCACCTACTCTGTGTCGTGAAGAACTGAGCAAAGGGACAGATGAGGATGGGATCCCCCTCACGGAGCATGCCCACTGCTGAGGCCCACATCACACCTACGTGCCAAATGTCATGAAGAAAAGAGGACTGTGGGTAACAGATGGCATAACTAAGCCAGCCAAATAGTCAGGAGAGGCTTTCTGGAGGAAGTGGCATTTAAGCTAAGGCCTAGCAGATAAGGAAAGCTGGCTAAGTTGGAGAGGAGGCAAGGTGCACACTGCTCCTTCTGCCTGACCTCTGGTGGCCCCAATGAGCAGCAAACTTGGCCTGGTCAAGGCAGTAAAGATCCCCTTGTGGCCAGAGCCTGGAGGTGGGGGTGGCTTTCAAGAAGGATGGTGGCTGGGGGGGGAAGGGCAGTCCCAGAGGGCAGAGGCTCCCTGCTCTGGGCAAAGCCAACCCTCCTTCCCCTTCTCTGCAAGATCCAGCCACGTGCTGTCTGGCTAAGCAGGTGGTTCTAGGAAACAAAACTCTCTCCACCTTTTTGCCTAAACGAAGAAAACAAAACATAACAAGCCCACTTTACTTTAGTCGATACACCCTCCTCATAGGGAAGCCTGGGACCGTGGGCTGTGTGTTCAGCAGGACCCGAATCCTGAGGTTGCAGAGATCAGGGCTGGGAAGGGATTGCCGGGGATGGGGCTCCTGGGAAGAGAATGACCATGGTGTCCTGCAATGTTCTGTTCAGAATTAGCTACTGGACCCAAGTAGAAACCCCTTCTTTCCTCTGCAGTGCTGCTTAAGGAAGGGTGGGCCGGTGTAAGCGCAAGAGCACCAGCTCAGAGAAGCCGGCTCCTGCCAACAGCTGCAATGATGCCGGATGCAGGGAGCAGGAAGACATCGAGAAGTCACACCTATGGGCTAAAACCAACTCTGGACAGGGCTTAGTTTCAGGACTCCCCTCTTCTTCCTTCCTACGTGCTGAAATGCTTCTTCTCTCTTCTTTGGTGTTTATGTCAAATACAGCCAAACTTTTATTTTTTTTTGAATTGGAGTCTCATGCCGTCACCCAGACTGGAGTACAGTGGCTCGCTCCCAGCCACTGCAGCCTCGACCTGTTGGGCTCCAGTGATCCTTCCGCCTCAGCCTGCCAAGTAGCTGGAACTACAAGCGTGAGCTACCATGCCCAGCTAATTTTTTTGATTTATTGTAGAGACAAGGTCTCGCCAGGTTGCTTGGGTGGGTCTCGAACCTGCAGACTCAGGCAATCCACTCACCCCGGCCTCCCAAAGTGCTGGTTTACAGGCTGAGCCACTGAGCCGGGCCCAAATACAGCCAAACTTCTATATGAATATGTAGATTTCAGAACTCCCAATGGGCATCACACCATCACCCCAGGCTTCTGTGACATTTCCATGGCCAACAGGTGGCGCTCAACAAATACAAAGAAGAGAGTCCAAATCAAAACCAGAACCAGCCCACAGACATAGAAGGGACCATGGCCCAAGCTGCCCCATAGCGATTTCAAGTCAAGATGTGAGGAAGCAACATGGGTAGTACCAGACATCAAGGTGCTACCAGGAGGAAGGGACGCCCTAGACAAACGGTCAGGAAACAGCTTTCTGTAAATGTCTTTCTTGACGGGCTCCTCATGGCCTGCAGGTTGCCAACATGCACTGTGGATCTTCAAAAAGGAAAAGAGGAGACTTCTAAGCTAACAGTCACAAGGTGTCTTTTGATGAGGGTGTCCGAAGTCTAGGCTCCCATAAAACACACAAGCGAAGCTGCTGTAAAAAGACCCACAAGGGAACCTGCAGCAGTGGGGACAGCTATCCCTTGCAGGGGCCCTGGGCAGCATCCCAGAAAGCATCTATGGTTGGACTTTTGCTCCCTAACCCTGCCCGGTTTAACATCTTCCAGACACTGGAATTCCTTTTTTAAAGCATAACTAGAAATACATCATGACTATTCTGTGAGTCCAGTGGTTTTGTCCCAACACATGAAAGCCCTCCCACAGCCTCAGTCTCCCGAATCTGCCCCTGCCATCTCCTCATTGAGCCTCTTGGGTTCTCTGTCAGAACGACCCCTGACTGCACTCACTCAGGCACTATCCCTCTCCCGTCACTCACCTGGAAGGTCTTGGTTAGGACTGATTCCTCTCAGGGTCGCCAGCACAGTGCCTGGCACGTGGGAGGTACTTTTAAACAGTTATGAAATGAATGCTACATTTTTCCAAGAAGAACAATCTTTACAACATCCTGCCATGGCCACCCTTCCTAGAAGGCAGGGTCTTGACATGAAACAGGAAACTCTCAGTACAACAAAGGTTTCTCTCAAAACTTTTCTTGGATGAGACTAGCAAACTATGAATTCTTCGGAGGTTTGGCAAGAGACTGCTTTGGAATGGAAGGAAATTAAATTGCAAGCCTCACACAGATCAGGCTGAAATGAAGAACAGAGACGGGCAGAGAAGTGAGGCAGGGCAGGATGGGGTCAGAAATTCCGGGTTCTCTTGGTCCCAGGTAGGATTAGCTCTTCACTCCTCCTCAGGCCATTCTTTCCGAAAGAAAGCAGGCAGAGGGCTCTGGGGCCTGTCGTTACAGGTCTCAGAACAGTACTGGAGGAGTCCATTCGTTTGTCCATTCAACCATATTTGTTTGTTCGGGGGCAACATTCTTCATCTGATGCTTCCTGGAGGGACACCTGTTAGCAAAACATCCCTCGCCTGCCTCCTTACTCCCCCACAGACAGGAAACAACCAAGATACTCATCACAGGGGACCAGTTAAAAAACTAGCATATCCACACTGTGGAACACTATGGAACAACTAAAAAAATAGCACATTCATATGTGGTGACATATAGGCAAGACTTCCAAGATGCACTGTTAAGTGAAAAAAAAAACAAACACACTATAGTCATTGTGTATTTTTTTTTTTAGTAGGCATCTCACTCTGTCATCCAGGCTGAAGTGCAGAGGCATGGTCACGGCTACCGCAGCCTTAACCTGCTGGGTTTAGGTGATCCTTCCTCCTCAGTCTTCCAAGTAGCTGGAACCACAGGCGCGCACCACCATACTCAGCTAATTTATTTATTGTAGAGACGAGGTCTCGCCAAGTTGCCCAGGCTGGTCTCAAACCCCTGGGCTCAGGCAATC